AATAATGGGTGCACAGCTCCAAATTTTGGTGCACTAGGTGCACATGCACTCAGTATTCTCTTTTTCACTGGAATTTTTTTGGGGTTGGGTGAAAAAAAAATTCAGTGCCAAAGAGAAACCCCGATAAAACAAGCCTAAAAACACGCCAAAATAACCCAAAACCCAAACCTCTGCTTGGAGAGTACTTTTTTGGCGGGAACGTTGAGTGGGTTTTAATCATGCACACGTGCGGTACGTTCCAAAAGGTGGAAATTTCCAACAGAATAAAACGTGTTTGTAACTGTTTTTAGCAGCGAAATTTGCTCCTAGCTTTCTTCAATACAGAAGAAATATATTCAGTGTTCCCCAAAACCATGATAGTCAAGAAAACAACCTCCCTATCGGAAAATTATACTCAAGTACAAAATGGCCTGTAACAAGACGTGTACGAGAATAGCGTTCCACGAAACGCAAATTTCTACGGAATAAAGCGGTTAACATGAGGAATTATAACGTGGTCTGTTGCTACAGGTTTGTTGGAAGTACAAACATGTACATTCAAGGCGGTAGTTTGTTGTCTTACCTCGCAAGAACGTCTTCTCGGCACCATGTGCACCACGCCGCCATGGCAGTCGCCATCTTCGTTTCTTCTCCAAACTTTGCCCTGCCAGGAAACACGAATTTTCTCCCTTAAACGTCCAAAAAAACGGCACAAATCCGACCTGGAAACGTTCAGACGATATACTGTACACTTTAGACGGATAATTTGCGGGCAAAAAGCCGAAAATTTACCCCAAAAGTTGGAGAGAATTCACGCACAACACGCCACACGACAACGTGTTACACAGCTATGCTGCAGCTGGTCGAACGGACCGTACCATGTGTGATAATTGAATAGGGGTGCGAACGAGACTAATCAAATTTTTCTTGATAATTAATAATCACCATTCCACCACCAATCAAAAGTAATAATTATTCTTGCCGCAAAATTCTGGACTTGTTTTCTGTATCAAATGATCGGGATACCTTCTGCCACAGCAAGTGTTTATATCCCTAGAGTTGTGACGCCCCCCATTTGTTAAGTGGGACGCCCCAAGTGTGGACCTCTCCTTGGTGCTGAACTCACCATCACTTCCATGTATTAAGTATTGCAGTTGTGGCGTTTGTTTCACACAACAGAACACCCATGGAAAAGCGAGGGATTGATGTGTTTTAGTACAAATATACAGTATATAGTACATAGAAGCCTGTATATCAACAAGATACTTATTTCATCAACGCTTTTTATTCACATAACGTTATATTTTCTGAGGATTAAGAAAAAGTTACAACATACTAAGCTAGGCACTTCTCTATTTACACATATAAATAACAAAAAAAAGTGGACAAGTGTCTTTATTTAGGCCACACCAAATAATCTTTGTGGAAACATTGAGATAGTTTCAAAAGAAAACATTGTTGGCCATAGAAAAACAGCAACAAAAGCTTCCTAAAAACTTTCTGTCAGCAAATCTCATTTGTAAACTGGATGACATATACTGAATCAAATCTGGGTACTAGAAAGGTAACATTTGCAAAACAAATGCATAATGTTTACCTTCGCATATGTCTGCTCTGTTAATTCTTACTCAAACACATTCATATATATGGTGACAGCAGTCTGAATCCCTCATGCTATAAAATGATGTAACCCAACACTAGTTACCATGGTGACAGACGCCTGGTTCAGGTCATCGACCATATTTGTTTGGAGAAGAAGAGGAAGAAACTGAGCAAAAACAATATGTTTTCCTTCGGTAAACATAAATATTGGAAGAAACACACAACCAGTCTGGTATATCTGGTATAACTTAGGATTTTTATTGCAATACAAAGACAGTCAATTTAAAACATAGAAATATACATCCAGAGTTTCACTCAGAAATTCTCCATCACTATAATAACACCTATAATTGTTTGGTATAGGCAGGGTATGCCAGCCCAGCTGTTTTCTGTTTACATATTGCTTGCACAGATGTAGTGTAGTAGCCTCTACCAGGGGTATGAAGTTTCTTCAAAACAACCATGAACTCTTCTTGTGGAAGACATGTAGAAGACTTCGGTTCCTCAAAACTAAAATATTTAAGGTCTACATGTACATGTACATGAATCACCAACACATTGTCAAGCAATTCCTGAAAGCATT